TTTTTTTCTTTTTTAAATGAATCTCAAAGATAACCTTGGTTTCTTTTTTGGCACAAAATGCTTCTGCCATTACTGTATCTTTAAATGCAACTAAGGTATAACTGAAATATCTCAGTTACTTGACTGGTAGCGAGAGCATTGTTATTGCATTTGGAGGACAATACTCCCCTTCCAGGGATGCTGAGCCCTCTTCTATTGCTGTGTCTACATATGCTTCATCTTTACTGGGAGGAAAACTGTCACCTCTGAGGCTGGTCCCTCAGTGTTTACTTTTCCAATTGGTTAATTTTACTCAAAATTGTTAAGAACAACAAGGGATCAGTGTAGCGTCGTAACAAGAAGTGAATTTGTTCATAATGATAATTTATGGTGTCACAAGCAAAAAAAAAAAAAAAAAAAAAAAAAGCCTGACTACCTGCCACAGTTACCTCATTCAAAACTCATTTGAGGGTTTAGAGAGGGACTCCTACATTTTGACAGGCCAGCATTTTAATGCTATCTGTGCTCCAACATAACTATTACATATTAAAGATCAGAAATGTTGCCTGTTAGGACTATGCCGCCAGAGTTCTCTCTCTCTCTCTCTCTCTCTCTCTCTCTCTCTCTCTCTCTCTCTCTCTCTCAGAGGCATATCCAGTCGCAACAACAAGGCCATCTAACAGCACTCCAGTGTGTCCCTAGGTTAATTTTCAGCTCTTGACCGCCACTGCACACAGATTATGCTTAGATCCTTATCACAGTAGTTAATATAGAAATCTAATATGTAAGCAAGTTCAACTTGCTTGCACAAAAAGGAAGCTGTTGTTTGAGAATTATTCTTATAAGTACAACACAAAAGAGAATTGCATTTTAAGTAAAATACTGAATCACTGCAAAATCTCATTATTTGCTCAAGAACCTGAAATATACTCCCAGCCAGGCATCAGTCTTTAAAAAATATCACTGCTAAGACAAACCAAATCAAAACAATGAACCTTCCAACTAGTGATATTAAAGCACTTTAGCATCCAGAAGTACTGTCAACTCTTTTGCTTTCTACATAGCTTTGCTACCTGGGCTACTACAGTAGTAGGGCAGTAGGTTCTTATACACAACAAAGTAAATGTCTCCATGGTTTTAGTATAAGTAGCAAGTACCTAGTAGCAGGTTGTGAATAAGGAGAGATTAAGCCTTACACTGGGTATTTGAGCAGCAGCTGTTAGTTCAAGCCATTGTGGGCTTGGTGATTCACAAGCATGTCACAGATGTTAACATTCATATCAACCTGCAGATATGATTTAAGGTAGTGGTCAGAACCAAGAGTCCAGTAAGAACACAATGCAAAATTGCAAGTACATACACTCTTTGTCTTAGCAATTGCAGTTTTAGAGATTTACCCTTTAGAGGCAGTTACACATATACGTGTGTTCAAACTTGTGTGTATGAATTGTAATTGTTTATAGCCATGCTTGTAATGACAAAAGATAAAAAGAACACTTGAAACATCAATTTCCCTTCTTATTTTAATACACAAACACAAACATTCTGATAGCTTTTGCTATTTGCTTACTATGCACTAGGCCCAGGGCCAGATGTTATCTGTCTACTTATTTATCTACAAATTCATATGACATTTAGTATCTTATCCTTGTGTCATTTTAAAATATACACTGTGGATGATTGGATTTTCCACGTTTTCAGCTGTTTTGTGTTCTGGAATGTAAGCAGGGCCCCATGCATCTCAATGGGAAGGATTCAAAGGACTTATTGTTTCACACATAATTTACATGAGTGTTTGAAGTGTTTGATAGTCTCAGCTTGCTCAGTGTCCCAAAACTCTTCCCTGGCATTCAGCACAGGGCTCTCTTGATAAAGAACACCAAGGAGCAGAATGGCTTCAACTGAAAGTTTCTAGAAACCCTGTCATGTAAAAAAGCATGCAGGGCAGGGAGATTTCCCAAGGTTGTCAGCTCCTTGCCAGAATGCATGCAAAACCTTGCCCACATTTTATAGTGGCTTCAAGGATTGACAGAGTTGTGACATTCTGTGGTTTGTAAGCATTATTGAGTTCTGTAGTTACTGACCTCCAGATGAATGTAATAGATTCAGAAAGACACTTCTGAGCTGTTAGGAAATATTAATAAAAGGGCGGAGGGACTCTGACTCCCCCAAAATTGCACATATTGGATATCCAAAGAGAGTTTTAACAACGTGTCAAAGTTAGAGATTACTTGGTTAGCAATTCAAAGCTCTCACCTTGGAGGATAATTACAACAGCAATCACCACTCACTAAAGTTATTCTTTAAGAATGATAATGCCAAGTGACCTGAAATTCTAAATACATATTTTAAAAAGTTACTATGCTGCTATAATTATTTAGGGGAATATAATGACTTTTAATTCATCTTAGGTGTTTTGGCCTTTAGAACAGCATGCACTAGTAGTTTGCATAGTAGACTATCTGAAGAGGGATCCCAGACTTCAATTCTGACATTTCAAAAGAATTCTGAAAATGTTTGTCATGGGTCTTACTTAATGTGGTCATATGTCACAATTCCTGAGGCCCTAAGGAAGCTCAGGCTGGAGGAGGACATGCTGTGTTTTAGCATTCTTGATGTAGTGTGTTAGGGAAGCTTACAGGCTCTAAGACCAGATAAGCTGGCTTCAAGTTCAGAGTAATCACTTTCTAATGGTGTGATACCAGGCAAGTTACTTCTTCACCTCATCAGTGACTTAAATCAGGGCTGATAGCAAGGTATCCTGTGACAGGTCATCCAAGTAATTTAATTAAATACAATGAGTACATAGTGGCCAATAAATAGTGGCCACTGTTGTTGCCTCAAACTACACCAAGGCAGGATTTGTAGGAGCTCATGTTGACACTCATAGCTGTGGGACCCAAGTTTCAGATCAATTTAGATGACTACCTGTTTAGTTTTATAATGACTCATCAGTTTGTTCCAGAAGTAAAAACACAGCTTTAGTACACTGAATAGCTTCGGGGTAAAGGATGTAACTTCCCAGGGAAATAATAGAGGGACTTGGAAGGAAACACACATGCTCAGTCAGATGTTCTAAGGGTTATGGAAGTAGTCATTTCACCAGACAGAAAGTAGAGAGGTCTCAGAAGAGTCAATGTCTATCTGGTCTGGTGGCAACACAAGGGAAGAAAATGTTCTTAGCCCTGCCTTCCACACAACCATGCAATGGCTGGCTGCTGTCAGGAGGTTTCTAATTTGGTTGAATGTATAGGTCAGTTGAGGCTGCTCCAAATAGAACTTCCATTGATTTTCTGTGCATACCTAGCAGAAGTACAATATGCTCTCGACTATGGAGAGGAATCTTGACTCAGCTAAGTTAAAATTTCCCACACTTTCCACTGTAAAGTGTCTCAGCCACCACAGAAAGCCCTAACTTGCCACTCTGTAAGAAGCAAGTGGGTCGCTTCATATCCCACCAGAGCTGTGACTGCACCTAAGAAACTTTTCAGGCTGTGTCTCCAGGCAAACGCTCAGAGTCTGTCAAAAGCGTTTGCTGTCCCAGATTTTTTTTTTTGCAGTTCTTCTTTGTATTTCTGTTAGCACTTCCCTTCAGGGTCTGGATCCTAATCTATGTCCCATCTCTAAGCCTCAGAAATGTCTGGAATTCCCTTAAAATGTGGCTACTGGGATTAGGCTTCCCAGAGAACGATGAAGGGAAATGTCAAGGGTTGCCTTGTGATAACGACTCATGTCACTTAGGTTGTAGTACGTTCCCTAACCTAACACTGTCTTCCCATTGAGTAGAGGCCAGGGTAGGCCTTCAGCAAGTCCGCCATGCACAGTCTCATTCCTTTACGCCAAGGCTGTTTTATGTGTGACTCTCTATTGCTAACAATGGGAAGCAGTGCTATATGTTTGCACAACTCTAAACATCCCTGGCCCTTTCATTTGGTCAGTTTTTGTTAACATCACAAATTCACCATAGGTGGGCACTGGAAGCTTTCTTGGGAAATGGAAGAAAATGAGAGCCACAGGTGCCAGGACATGTCCTAACTTCCAAAACTACCTGAAGTCAACACTGTGGATGTTGACTACCTGTTTAGTTTTATAAGGAAGAACAAGTCCTGCCTTGTTCTCTGAGCCCATTTCTTCTGACAACTGTGGAAATCATAGCAATTTTAACTATTGAAATTTTTATTGACCTTATTACAGAGTTCTCCTCTGTCTTGTCCATGAAGTAAGCGGAGATAATATCAGGAAGCTTACATTTGGGAACCAGGCATCCTGGACCCTGATCTCCACCTCTACCTCACGGGGGGCCCTTGAGCATCTTATTAATCATGATTAAAACGGCAATAACTGTCTATTGGTGGGTTGCTGGAGTGGATAAAAGAAGCAACACGTGTAACTCAATAGTTGGACCAGGCCATTTATTTCATCAAGACTATCCAAGGCTACTTGCAGCAAGGAATTGGAGTTTCACTGACTTACCAGTCTGGGCCTCTTTCACCCAAACCATTAGTTTTCTAAATCCTTACTGGACCGCTGCTTTCCTGGCCCTCAAAACAAAGCCCTCTACAATTACCTTGCCCTTCAATCATCTGTGTGTCATAAGTTTGGGGAAGATTTGCATTCCTGACAAACTCCCAGTTTGTGGACCATACTTTCAGGAAGCTGTACCTAGAAAGGCTGACGAAGGGACTTGTGATTCTCACACGTTAAATTTTGTCACAGTTACATAGAAAGGATTTTAAAAATATATAACTGTCTCGCAACTACTCCAGAGCCTGTGATTCAGTATGCCTGGGTTGGGAGCCTGGATTCTTCTTTCTAATAATAATAACAACAGTGTTACTGCTCAGAAAGCTACACTTGTCAGAGGCTAAGAAAAAACCCAGAAGAAAATCTGGTTCAATAGTCACTAGGAGGAGAGGAGCAGTGTACCTCAGGAAGCTCTTCCCGGTACTTTAACTTTAACGGTGGTTCCACTTACCCCCCACCCCTGTCCCGCTTCCAGCCCCTCAGATCAGGGGCATTACCTTGTAGACATTAATGGGGATGTCGATGATGATGTGTAGCAGATCTCCCAGAGCCAGACTGGCGATCAGGATGTTGGGACCATTTCGCATGCACTTGTTCTTGTAGATGATCCTCAGCAGCGTGGAGTTCCCGATGATGCCCAGCACGAACACGAGACAGGACACAATCGTGTTGATGTATTTAAAAGTCTTGCTGATCTCACTATTTCGCTGGCACGGAGGAGGGAAGGATCTTGGCGGGACTCCAGCCACCCTCCCTCCTTTGGTCACCTCCGCAGGTGCTGAGGAACGCGTCAGACTGGAGTTAGAACCTTTCGTCCAGGAGGTCTTGGTGGGTGGTGTCATTACCTCTCTAGTCCCCAGAAGAGACGGTGTGGCTTGGGCAGGTGGGAATCCTCTTTCCTCTCCCCAAACTCCCAACAAGCCACAGGCCAGCAGCAGCGCCACCAAGGCGCGTCCGCACTGGCTTGCCGGCGGATGCATGTTACAGCTTGCTCCAGTGGGAGTCCGGTAGCCGCTCCGCTGCTTTCAGTCTAGAGACCAACAGGGGAATGAAGGCAGGGCACTTTTGTCAGCCCCCCCAGCCACGCCTCTGCAAACACTCACACTAGCCCTGTCGCCACTACCCGCGCAGCAGTAACTTCAGTTTGCGCGCCAATGGGGAACTTGGGCGCGCGCCACCCGCTCGCCCGCATCCAGTCTCCTTCCTGACCCTGCTCGCTGTGTTTTAATCCCCAGCTCCTGGCCCTGCGGTAGACCAGTCGCGGTGGGGCGGAGCATTCCGGCAGGGGTGTTCCAGACAGGGGAGGCTGGGTGTCCCAGGGAAAGAACACTGGTGTTTGCCGGGAAGAAGCAAGACCGTTTTAGCTAAGCTTCAGGACCCAGAATGAAGAAGGCACCTAGCGGCCAAGGGCATGCATCAATGCACTCAGCACGAACTGAGAGAATGTCAGCATCAACTTTTGTGTTTTCTAAGTGACTTCATTCAGTCGCATTTCAACCCAATCTCAGTGTGAATCGCAGCTATGTGTAATTTTACTTATTTTAAAGTCTCCAAACTGTTAGAGCAAGGTCCAGTCTCACATATTTTAATTTCAACACTAACCCAGAATGATTAGTTATCTAGCAGGAATTGGAAGCCCCAGGCTCAACCACCAGCAGGGAACCTCCTATCCGGGTCATCGAACCGCCTAGGGGGCTTGCAGCTCGCAGAGGGATCCCATCTGCTCCTTCAGCTGCAGGCAGCTCTGGCTCTGACCAAGGCTGAGAGAGCGCCAGACAGGATCCTCAGCAGCTCACTGGGGTCGCTGCTGTCCCCAGACAAGTACTTTTATTCATTCGTCCCTTCCCCAGCATCAATCACCCTCAGACTCCTCCCGAGTTTTCTGAGCGACCCTGCCAAAACCTTTCCCCTTGGGCGATGCCTGGACAGTATCAGCCTCAGCTGCCCACTGGAAGGGGCAGTCCTCACTGTGCCCCACGCGAAACTGTTTATTTGCGGTTTAACTATGTAAGATCCTACGTATCCCATGGCACTCTGGGGGCTGGAGATTAGGACAAGGCTGTGTTAATCTGACTTTGAATATCCTGACTTCTCACAGAAATGTCCCCTAGTAATGCTTGAAATCTGCTTGGTCTGGGGGAGTTGCCTTTCATTTCTTTCTTTGCCCTTAAGTTTCACGTCAACAGGAAGGGCCAGGATCATTTCTCCTCAGGCGGAGGGATTGCCCAAGGCAAGAAGGAGTGAAAGACATCCTTCACTGTGTGCAAGTGTAGCTCTTCCTGGGTACTGAACTGTCGCCAAGCCCCTACAGGGATCTTTCTACGGAGCCTAAAAGGGACCCGAGACAAGAGACAGGAAAATAATCAGGAAGCAGACTCGCAAATTCAACCTGATGCTTATTTCACCAGACAGCAACGAAACAAATTCTTCCTGTCCACTCTTGAGCTGGGTCTTTCAGGCACAGAAGGGAATGCTACTAAGCTGCCTGTTTGCTCAAAGCTAAGAGGTGCGGGTGCTGTCGGCAAGATTCTGCAGTGCTTGTAAAGTTTAAACAGCAGAAGAAATCATCCCACGCAGAAGTTTCTCCTAGCGGCCAGGGGCTTCACAGACAGTTAACTGGGGCTTCTCCTAGTGACCCTTTTTGTCTAACAGCTAGTTTATTGTACACATAGGACCCAAATCTTGTATGATTCGTTCTCATCAAACGTTTCCCGTGAAGCTGGAAGCAGAACATGACTGTCTATTTTAAGAAGTTAACTTTAAATGTTGAATATAGTTAAGAATGCGATTAAGAACGATGTTTAAGGGAGGAGAACTATGTTCTGGGTGTGAGTGCTAATCCCAAATCTGGCTGTTTTAGAGACAAATTTTTACCCCCACTGCCTCAGTGAAGACAAGGTCAATATTGAACTGCTTCACAGTGGACAACACACATTTCTGTGCAAACAAGGGATTCTGTGGGTGGTTTTGCAGAAAGGCTGTGCCCAGCTCAGGCCACCAAGGGCAGTTTTGAACCTGCCCTTCTTTCACAAGGCTTCATCCCTGTGCTCAGGACTCCCTGGTGGCTCTGTTTTCTCCACCTCTCTCTTTCTCAGCATCTCTGTTCATGTGTCCTTCCTGCAATAGGGGTGTTCCTGCTAGTTCTCACTGAGGTCTACCTTGTCCCTGTTTTTATAGCACTTTTCTGGACTGCTAACCTAATTTAATACTTGACTGTTGTCCTGGATACTTTAGATGTCAGTTTGCCACAACCTAGAATCACTTTGGGAGGAAACCCTGAAGGAGTGAGTACCTAGATCAAATTCACCTGTGGATTCATTAGTGAGGGAGCTTATCACTGTATTTATGGAGGTGGGAAGAGCCACGCAGACTGTGAGTACACCTGTTTTCATGGGCTGCTGAGCTCTGAACTGAACAGAATGGAGAAAGTTGGCTGCTCACACCCGCAGCAAGCCTGCTGAAGGTAGTGGGCAAACTGCTCTGCTTTGCATGTGGATGTGATACGATTAGCTGCTTGGGATCCTGCCTTGGCTTGCCCCCAGTGATGATGGCCTTGAGCCTGGAATTGAAAGCCAAACAATCCTATCCTCCCCTAAGCTGCTTTTGGTCAGGGTGTTTTATAATCAGAGTGAAAACTAATAGAATTGGTAACATCTAATTGAAATTTAACCTTAAGTATTTAGCTTTATTGTGTAGGGGTAACTATGTGAAACGTAAAGATGAAGTATTGGATCCCTGTGAGTGATCATCACAAAGTCACAAGAAATTAAGCCTTGGTTTCTCAGTGTGTAAAATGAAGGGAAATATTAGCTTCACTGAAGGAAGCTTTTTCTGGGACTTGTGTTTTCATAATTCGAGGATTATTTTTAAATAGCAGAGTGAAATGTATTGAAAACTGCATGGTAAAAATGAGATTATGGTAAAGGGGAGGCACTTGAGTGTTGGAATTTATTGGAAGGAACAAACCTCCACCAAGTGTCTTCCTCCTCCTCACCATCTCCTCATGTATTGGGCTGCTCTGCTGTAGACACAGGTTTCTTTCTTTGCACTATTACATGATATCTCTTATTAACTTTATCTGTGAGTTTACTAGTTCTGTGAAATTTTCTTTTGCATATTGACTGAAATATACCAAAGTTTAAGAATAACTGTATTGAAACTTTTGGAGTTGATCCAACCATGTTTATGAAAGACTCTTTCCGGGAGAGTACTTCCATGTGAAATCGTTTTACAGTCCCTTTCATGAAGAGTGCCTTCTAGGGAATTTGTCTAGATTCACATGGGCTAAGACAACCTCCCAAAGTCAGTATCTCCTTTAAATGCTTCAGCTAGAAGGAGCTGGAGACAAGGTTGAATGCACTTCAGAATTTGTTCTTCAAAGAGGTTTGCCACAGGGAGCTAGCTCAAGGCAAACATTTTCCCCTGGTGAGAGAAGAAACGAAAAACCCTTTTAGCCACAAAAAAGCTAATGCTTTCATATAAACTTCTTGATATGGATGTACTCTTTGAAACCTATTTTGAACCCTCTAAGTCATGGGTGCTGAGGGACAAGGTGTGTGAAAAGAGCAAACACCATTGGCTCAATTGCTTCTTCACACATTCCCTGAGGACCAGAGCCAATGATCAAATGGCAGTTGAAGTAAGAGGAGGAAAAAAAAAAAGATTTAAAGTCACCGTATGAACTAATAGCAAACAGCATCGATATTTGTTTATTCTTTCCTTCCTTTCTTTTTCTATTAAGTTTCTGTAGCTGTGTTGGTCTAATTGTTAATTAAGGTACAATTTGTGAACAACAGAAAGGAGAATAAGTACACAAGTTGAAGAATATTTTATTACATGTGTGTGTAAGTCTAAGTGTTGTTTACATGTGTGGACACATACTCCACAATGCCTTGAGGAAGTCAGAGAACAAATCCAGGAGTCTTTTCTCTCTTTGCACCATATAGGTCCTGGGGCTTGAGCTTAGTGTTCACCCAGTCTTAGTGTGAGTGTGTTTACTCACCTAGATATCCTACAGGCAATTTAAAGACTTTTGAAAAATGTGTACACCCTGCTACCAATGTATACATAACAACCCATTTTGCCAGGCAGGTCTTGGTATATACCCCAACTGACATGGAACTCCCTCTGTATACCAGCCTGGTGTCATCTTTCCTCTGGGGCTATAGGTGTGTATAGCAGAGGCCATGTTCTCCTGAGTGCTGTAATTACAGGTATGCATTCTAGTGTTTCCTTTTTAGACTGCATGTATTCTTGCAAAGCAGCAAAAATTGAATCCCTGGGTTTTTGGTATTATTTTTTGCTAAAGCATTCATATGGCATTGTTTCTGTCCTATGGATTTATTTTTATACACACAATCAGAGTTTGCAGTTAGCACATGGTTTGTAATTAGATGTATAGTTATAAGAGGATCTAAGATTTGAAAATTTGTCAGTGGTAAATGGTTGCTAGCTACAGTCTACACTTCCAATATAATGAGGGTTTGGTAGGCTTAATGATCACAAGGAGCACAGCACATTCAATTCTTTTCTGTTTACAGGGAATAGTAAAATCAGAAAAGCCATACGCACTTTGTAAATAATTTAAAATGAGTTATAATTCAGCTACTTTAGGCTCTAATGTAAATTCAATTAGAACATAATGATTTGTTGTAGTATTTAAATAATTTTTTGTGTTTCTTTACCATGCTTTAGCCTAAATTTTAGTAAAAAAAATTATATATGACTTGACTTATAGGCTTAAAACTTTTCACAGAACTCTTTGAGACAATATTAAAAACATTCCAGAATTCCAATGTGAGCACACCCCAGCTTCCCGTGTGTGCAGTGCACAGGGCATCTATGAAACTTTGCATTATTTAGTCACAGAGAAAACACTGTTGTAATTTGAGGTCCAAACAATTCAATTGCAAGTAAAGCACCAAGAAGGGGACATTATTTCATGTAGTGTGCCATTTGCAATGAGTTTCTGCAATTATTTTCTCTTCATTTTCCCCCATTCCATTCCTCTGAT